TGTATGTATCCCTCAAAGCTGCAGTACCGCACGTACAGCGAGCTGCCATCCACCAGCTTGATTGCCACTGTCGAGTACAAACCAAAAGCACCGTACCTCGTTGCATGCGTTTTGACGTTGCTCACCAACAGCGTTGACGCACTCAAAACAACATTCCACAACATCACCACGCTCAGCATGTTGTTCACAGTGTCCAAAAACTGAACTGTAGAGGACTGTACCGCATCAACCTCCGTGATGGCGATGTCGCAGCGCTGCGGGAGGGCGAGTAAAAAAGCAACAACAGAGGACCGCATCACCGTCTGGCTCACGCGGATCAGGACGCCGGACGACTCGACCGCCTCAACACCCCCAACAAACTGCAGCGCGGCACCCTCACGAAATGTGCACCCGGTGATCGTGATGTTGATGGGGAGATGCAGCGGCATGCTGTTGAGGAAGAACGTCAGCACAGAACGCCTGCCGCTGAATGTCACGCCCACGTAGCAGTGGTGCGTCTTCCACATCTTCAGCGTGAGGTTCGTCAGCGTCTCGTTCACCACGCAGCTCGTGTCGCCGTCGACGGCTCTCTCCGTTACGGGAGGCACAACCGCGTCGGGCACCTCGAGGGGAAGACAAGATGCGCCATGCCAACCGTCCTTGCAGCTGCACGAGCACGAGCTGCGGTCCACCGACTCCGTCCCGGGCATGTAGCACGCCGCGTCATCGTTGCATGTGCCACACCTGAAAAGCACCACGTCCTCCGGAAACACATAGTCGTAGGACACCTCCTCATTACCCTTCAGGTTGCACCCCACCACAAACCGCGCGGGTAAAGCAACAATCCTGTTCGATTTAGAAAGCTTGGCAAAGAGTGCGCTTCCTTCCACCTGACGGTTGTGCGCAAGCGCCACGGTGGTGCCGCTGCCCGACAGCTGAAGTTTTTGCCAGGAATACGGAATAGTTAATACTGAGGCTGCACCCACGTTGTTGCCCTCCACACGCCACTGCGCACTACCCTCGAGTGTCACCGAGCCAGACAAATACACCAGCGCGGAATCAAAAATTTCTGTCCTGCCGACAAAGGCGCAGTCCGCCACTCGCAGCAGCCCCGCAGACCTCACGGTGGTATCCCCAAAAAGATAAACGCCGTTAGCCGAGCTCATCGTGTTGTCCTCAATGTCAAAGTAGCCGCCGTTTCTCACAGCAACAGAAGTAACGCAAACAGATGATTCCACACCCTCATCGTCCTCCGCTGTGCTCAGCGTATTTCCCTTCACAATAATCCCACCACCATCAACAACAACAACACTGGAGAAATAGACCGCATACCTACTCCCCTCAATTGTGTTTTTAATTAGAATCAGTGACGAGATTGCCCCGGGGTAAAAATCCAAAAATAAAATGGCGTGGTTCGACGTCGTCACAAGCGTACTGCCCGCCACCAGTATCTGGGAGCTCACGCCAAAATGGCCCTGAAACACCAACTCGCCAGAATCCAGCATCGAGGAGACCACGTTCACGTGCACGCGTGCACCACTCCCCTTGATCGACAGGCCCATGAGGACGCACTGCAGCACCGTGATGTTGAGTGTCTGTTGTGACGCGTCAAAATACGACAGATCCAGCACAATCGCGGCAGTGAAGGTCACGTTGACGAAGCACAGACCACGCACACCGGGATCAGGATAGTCAACGGAGCTGATGCTGCCACCGTGCACGCAGCGGACCTCCGTGTCCTTCGCGTCGGGGGGCGGAAGCGGCCCAAGACAGTCCGGAACCGCAGCTGGCAGACAAGTGTCACCGTAGCCGCCAGCAGCACACACGCACTCACAGCCGCTGATGCTGCTCGTCCTCGCAGCGAAGCACACGGCGCCCACGGTGCACGCGCCGCAGTCCAACACCGTCACGGGTGCTCCAATATTGAGGTCGACTCCGTAATTCGTCACAGGAGAGCACCTTGCCGCGTTGCACACGCCGTAGATGATCGGGTGCGCGTCGGATGGTGGTGACCAGTTGCTTGTCATACTTACAATGGTTGACGAGTACGAGCCGTACGTGAAGTTGTTGTCAAGTATCGACCACACACTCCGATCGCGGAACGCCACGCTGCTTTCCTTGACTATGTACACAACGTAGGCGGTGCGGAACTCGCTGTCGCGGTGCACCAGCCAGCTGCCGCCGGTCACAGTCAGCGTGGTTGCCATGAGCATGGCAAAGCCAAGACGGAAAGTGCTGGACACAATCTGCAGCACGCTGCCGCCATCCACAACAACATCCTTGAACACACACGCGGCTTTGCCGTATTCGGTGCTCGGCACACTCCACAAGCTGTTCTGTATGGAGAACACGGAGCCGCCACCAACACGCAGGTCCGACGCAAGAGCATACATCACGTGCATCTGCGAATTGACGGCGCAGTTGTCCATGAAGAAAACGCTGGACAGGTTCACGCCGAGGCCGCGCTCCACGAGGATCGCAGCGCACGAGCCCCCGCCACACACCAGCGTCGACCGCGTCATGACAAGCCGCGTCGACAGAAGCCGGACGCCGTCGAGGGCAAGCGTGGGGCCGTACCGGGATCCTGCGTGGCCAGTGGTCGTCGGCACGTACTGCGACCTGCCAACCGTCGCGCGCAGCGTTGAGTTCGCCAGCAGCACACTCGAGTGCAGCGGCATCGCGCCACGCAGCACAATCGTGCCCTCCAGCGAAGTCACGTTCGTCATGTTGACGAGGGCGTGGGGCATCAGGCGCGCCGTGCTCTCGCTGAGGCCGCCAATCCGCAGCTGCGCACCGCCCACGAGCACGCAGTGGCGCAGCGTCACGTTCAGCGCGTCAGCGAACGCGTCCATCGAGCGCAGGTCCACCGCCACAGTGATCGGCCCGCTGAACACCACCGAGTCGAAGCACGCCGTCGCACGCCCGCCGCCAACCGTCACGGACTCCGTCAGCATCACGCCACTCACGCAGTCCTCCGCACCGCCACCACTCCCGCCGGGCCTCGCAACCGGCACGTCGAACGGCAGGCACGCCTCGCCCACACCGCCGTCGCGGCAGCCGCACACGCAGTCAGAGAACGACGCCGTCAGCGCATCAAAGCACGCCAGCGCTGCCGCACAGCCGTCGCACGGCACCACGCTCACGGAGGACAGGCCGGCCAAGCGGTAGTCGCCGCCGCTCTGCAGCACACGGCCGCCAGCACGGTTGCACTGCACCGACACGACGCCGCTCGTGATCGCCAGCCCGGAGACAAGCGTCGCGCCGGTGGCAGCGCAGCGCGCAATCGACACCGCACCGCCGCTCAGCGTCACCCCCGACAGCGACGCCACCGACGACGCCTCGCCCACCGCCCACACGTCGTGCAGGTCCAGCCACCCGCCGGCTCCGACCGTCCCACCGTCGCAGCGCACCAGCGACGACGCAACAGACCCCTCGACGCCCACGAAGCGCAGCACCGAATCAACCACCGCAAGGCGCTCGCCAAGCACAATGCCGCCGCCGCTGCTCACAGCCGACACGTTCGTCAAGGAGAACACCGAGTGGCCCCACAGAGTGAGACGCGACGAGGACGACACATGCAACGCGGAAGCGGTCGAACCGCCCGACGCCTCCAGCAACACGCCGTCAAGCACCACCGCGCTCGACAGCAGGTCCACACCGCCGCCAACGTACACCGCAGACCCGCCCGCCTGCAACGACCTCAGCACAGTGTTGCTCACACGCAGCTGCGTCTGCAACAGCGACGTCGCATGCAGCACAAGCGGCGACGCCACCGCATCCGTCAGCCCGCTCAGTTGGGAGTAGCGCATCGGTCCCGCCGTCACAATCGTCGAGTCACGGACCGTCACGTTCGTGTGTGCCGGCAGGTTGTGCACAAACACAAGCGAGCAGTAGCCGCCGGACAGCCCGCTCACGCTCACCTCCAGGCTCCGGTCACTCGCCGGCTCGCCGCTGTAGCCCCGCACGTAGATCTGCGCACCGCCGTCGCACACGCAGTTCCTCAGTTCGATGCGCAGCGCGCCGGGAAGCATCGCCGCCACGTCGAACACCACAGCCACGCCGTTCGTGATGTACACGCCGTCCATCAGCACCGTATCCATAGCGCGGCCAACCGTGATGGCTCTGTCCACCGTGCCGCCCCGCAGTCGCAACACCACCGCATGCACCGCGGGCATCCACGCAGCAGCAGCAACCAGCGCCAACACAACGAGCAGCGCCACACGCACAGCCGCAATGGCCCTGCGCTGCACACGGTGCCGGCTGCGCGGACACGCACCCACCGCAGACCGCATCCACCGACCCAGACAAGTACCAACAAGGCTGTTGTGGTGTGTCGCACTCGCCCCGTCGACCATAACTCCTGCCTAGCAAATCCCTTCCTACAGATGGCGAATCCAGTGACACGATTCCGCCAGATCGTTATACTAATACTGCTAAACCTAATACTGCGAGTAATCCCTAACGCCTTGAAACGATAGTTGTGCTGGCCAAGCAAAAGTATCTCTAACTGCACGCTCAGAAAAGAATAAGAGGCAGCAACAACAACAGTAACCAAACACAGTGGCACGCAGAGGCATCCGGTCATACACAATAACCTTCATAGTACAGCCGCCGACACAAAGCAGCACAGACGCAATCAAGTCAGTGACACCATCGCCCTCCCACCGCCCATACAACCCCGTACAACCACCGTGCCGAGTGGCGGAATCCCCGCAAAAAGCCACATGACCACTGGCACCGCTCCTGTTACCGAATAACTGCATCACATGGCGGTCCCGATGCCGTGCACGACACACAAGAGCCGAGGCAGACCACGTGGCAGCGTTAGGACCGCCAGCCATTAAGCGCGTCCGAAAGGTTGTTGGTGTTGGTGGTGCGTAAGTGGAGTGGAGAGCTCGCCGGTTGCCAGCAGTCAAAGCATCGTTTCTCGTTCACGCGAGTCGGCATTGCGCAGCAATCAGCGGCAACATGCGCGCACGACATACACAACAGAAGAAACAAATAAAGAGGCACGGCGGCACTCAAACACGGGGAAAAAGGTCCACATCGATTTTGCATTCCAATTGGCTCACAGACATCCGGATGGTGGTCGCGCCGCTGCTCTGCGGTGCGTGTGGCGTGTGACTGCAGTGGACAGAGAGGATGATGAGAGGGGTGGGAGACGCAGTGCGGCCCTCATCCATCTCGGTTAACTGTGACACCGGTGACGTCCTCCCGTCACATCGCCTGCAGCAAAGACCGTCGCCGTTAGCAGCGGTCGGTGCCTTCCCTCTCCCACTGGGGCGCAACTCCACCAACGCAGTCGCTCGCCTCCTCCCCCACCAACACAACGAGGGAGCAGCGGCAAAAGATGAGACACGCACGGCAAGCGCGCAGTCGCAGAGCCCCACTGCTGCCGCCATGGCCAAACAAGGTCGGCTGCAGGGCGCGAAAAGAAGGGCAAACACCCCATCAAACGCTTTGGCACCACGTGGAAGCACCGCAACCGACACACGAGGCGAAGCGCCGTGAAGCAGGCACCAAAACCAAAGCTCCCACAACAAATTCATCGTTAAGCAAAAGAAAACATTATGCGAGCGCAGAAAAATTTCACACAAACTGAAAAACAACAATGACGGTGCAGAGGCAATAAATGGTCGTGGTGCGCAGCAGCCGTGGCACCGCGTCCTTCCCTCATCTAACAGCACCGCACCGCAACGCACCGTGAGGACAGCCTGCAATGACGACGATTGAGTAGCACACACAAAGCGGCATAAACCTTTCATCCCGCACTCGCTCAAGTTTACGCCCTCAGTATGTACTGCCAACAACACAGGGAAGGACACGGAAGGGGACTGTCCTGTCCATCCTCCTTCTGCCCACAACAGATCCTCCCCACCCTCCTCCTCGCCACGCCCTGGGTGCCGCGAAACGCCGTCAAGCAGAGCCACGTGTGTGGAAGCCCCCAATGCGCGGGGCGAGGCTGGCAGCCACCCACGCTCACTCTCCCGCACACATATCCTTTCCCGCAGCTTTTCCACACACAAGGGCAAAGACATGGAAAAGAAAAGCCCGCCGCACAACGCATGCAGAAGCACCGCCATCCACGTCGCACCGCAAGAAAGAGCCATGCGCACCGCACACCCATGGCGGCAACGAGAGGGACGGGATGCATCCAAGTCCACAGCGCAGTCCTTCACTTCTCCCCTCCCCGACGGATTGGCACCCACACTCACAGTGAGGCACGGCGCACACCATCCGCTCTCCTCCGAGTGCACTCAGCAGGCCGGCGCCCAGTCACCCTCGTGCCATCGCAATGGGAACAAAAACAATCGTCGTCGCGGACTATCAGTGTCTCTAGCAGGAAAAAAGAAATGAGGACATGTCAACAGCACGGCCAGCAGTGGGACACTCAACGGGACGCGGAGACACTCAGCGACAGTGAACAAAGCAAAAAAAAAAAAAAACGTAGTGATTTACCAAAAACAAAAAAAAAAGGTGAGAGTCCAGAAGA